TTTCTAAAATTGATATTTTTAATTTAAATGTTTATAACCTACCTGGAATTTATTTTTATATATGGTAAGCCAAAGGTCTGAGTTTTCTTTCAGAAGTATGGTTATCAGAATCATTTATTAAATAAACCATGCATTTCCAATTGAAATAAAACTCCAACACCTCCCTATCAGAAATGGATTCAGCAGGCAGAAAATCAGTAAGGTCGAAGTTGAACTCAACAACACCACCAATCAACTGGATATGATGGACACCTGTACACTACTTTATCCAATAACAGTAGAATACACATTCTTCTCAAACTCACATGGAACATTCACTAAGATAGACCACATTCTGGGTCATAAAACATAGCCTTAACAAATTTAAAAGAATAGAAATCATACAGTGTCTGCTCTCAGACCACAGTGGAATTAAACTAGAAATCAATAACAAAAAGATAACTGGAAAATCCCCAAATACAGGGAGATTAAACAACATACTTCTAAATAACACATGGGTCAAAGAAGAAATCTCAAGAGAAAGTTAAAAATATTTTGAACTAAATGAAAAGGTAACTTATCAAAATTTGTGGGATGCAGTAAAAGCAGTGCTTAGATGGAAATTTACAGAATTGAATGCATGCATAAATTAGAAAACAAGAAAGATCTAAAAATCAATAATCTAAGTTTCCACCTTAGGAAACTAGAAAAAGAAGAACAAATTATATTGAAAGTAAGCAGAAGAAGAGAAATGATAAGAATTAGAGCAGAAATAAATGAAATTGAAAACAGGAAATTAATAGAGAAAAATAATTGAAACAAAAAGCTAGTTCTTTGAAAAGATCAATAAAACGAATGAGCCTTTAGCCAGGCTAACTAAAAAAAAAAAGAGAAAGGACACAAATTACCGAAATCAGAAATGAAAGAGGGTACATCACTACAGATCCTATGGACATTAAAAGGATAATAAAGGTATACTATGAACAATTCTCTGCCCACAAATTTGATAACCTAGATGAAATGGATCAATTACTTGAACAAGACAGAATTTGCTGAAACTCACACAAGAAGAAACAGACAATCGGAATAGGCCTACATCTATTAAAGTAATTGACTTAATAATTAATAAGTGTCTAAAACAGACAGTACCAGGCCCAGAGGGCCTCATTGGTGAATTCTACCAAACATTTAAGGAAGAAATTCTGCCAGTATTCTACAATCTCCTTCAGAGGACAGAAGCAGAGAGAATACTTCTTAATTCATTCTATGAGGCCAGCATTACCCTAATACCAAAGACATTATAAAACAAGAATTTATAAAATATAACAATTTCCAATAATATAATAGGATATTTCAAGAGTATTTTGTATAAGCTTTGGCAAAATAGATATTTAACAGTAATAAATTATGATTATAAAAAGCAATCTTTGAAAAGAAAAATAGCCCAAATTTTTAGCATCAGAGAATATTTCAATTTTAGTATATGTATCTATTTTATATTTTATGCAGACTTACACACTATCTCTTTAACTAAAGAAAAAAGGAAATATACTCTCAGGAAGTCAAAGAACTCACAGAACATTCCTAACAGTTTATACTTAATTGTTCATTAAGCATTTAGAGGAGCTGACCATTTCTAGACGCTGTACAAGATACTGACTTTACAGATGATGAAGAAGAAAAAAAATCCCTGTCCTCAGGTACTCAATCTAGAAAGGGAGGCAGCCAAATAAAGTAAGAAGTATGGTATATGTTTCTCTGTCTTTAGGTCTTTGCTCCTGCACTAGTTATGGTGGGAGAAAAATGAAGGAAGTATCTAAGAGTAGCAGTGATGGAGTTGGGAGAAGACAAGGTAGAGGAGATATTAGGAAGGCTTCTCAGGAAAGGTGATGGAATAAACTGCACGCGAAAGAAAAGTAGAATATCCAAGAAGACAAAAGTCTTACAAGGTTTTTGTGTTTTTTTTCAGGTGGGAAGAGAGATAATTCAGCATCTCTTGGATGACCACAAATAAATTGAGGTAAAGATTATACCTTTTCTTTTAGATATCATGAGTCTGATACACTTTCAGATCATGTATTAGAGTTCTGCAGGAAACTGGAAATAAAAGTTTTAGGCTTAAGACAAAGTTTGGTTGAAAACAGAGTTGAAGCCATTATGGAAAAGGTGACTGTGGATGAGACAGTCCAGGGTAAATGTGCAGGGTGAAAAGAGGATCAAAATTGAATTCTGAGAAATACAAGCACTTGAGGTCTAGCAGGCGAACCCAAATGCAGACTTAAAAGGAAAGAAAAAGAAAAAAAAAAGAAAGAAAAAGAGGGAAAGAAGAACTAAGAAAACAGGATGAACTAAATTAAAGACCAAGAATATTTCAAGGGCAGAATAGATAAGAGTATCAAATGCAGTAGATGTAAAGACTAAAATGTATCCACTGTTCCCTGGTAACTTTAGCTAGGACAGTTATAGTCATGTAGTGGGGTGTATGCCAGACTATGGTAGACTGAGTGATTAATGGGATTAAGGAAGTAGGAGCATCTAGCATAGACTTTTCTTGCACAAGGTTTAGATGTAAAAGTAGAGGCAAGAACAGGTGCTGATGCAAGTAAGTTTACAGGTTTGGTGGAAGGAATTTGAATGAGTTCCTTCTGATGACTTCTGTTTTCTCTGGTTAGGAGAAGGTGAGATCTTTTGCTAAGACTCTGAAAATAAGTGGCCGAGGAGAGTGAAGGACAGAAACAGGCACTGGGAAGACTAGGTGAGCTGACCAGAAAGATCTAGGATGGTCAGGCATTATTGCCAACCTTTAGGTCAGGTTGTGGAGAACATTATTGTGAAATCACTAAAGGAAATCTTAAATGTTAATACTCATCTTGGCTATCTTATCAGTAAGCAAGAACCTAGAGCAAAGTATAAGACAATTTTCTACTTTTAATTAGCAAACTGAAATTAAACAAAAAAATTTAAATATGAATGTTTACTAAATATGGATATTTTGATCCAGAGATCTAGAGAGCTGTAGAAAAGAAAATATATAAAAGCAATTCTTTTAAACTTATCACACATTTTCTTAAAAAGAGAAAAAAATCAAAGTTAAATAATGTTCTAGTAAAAGTACTAAATAAATTAACTGCTAGGAACTTAAAGCATTAAATCCCAAGTCTTTCTATTGAGGTAAGATTTTAAAAATAGCTTTATGAGTGTGAAATTTGAAATATTCCATTTATCTAACTCCTCAAATATGATGCATTTGTATGTGTAGCTTATTTTAAGTGATTGGGAAGTAACTGAACAAAAAGTTCTGATAAAGTATTCTTCATAAGAAGTAAGTATTCTCCCTTTCTCTGCCTCTCGCTCTCTCCCCCTCCACCCTCTAATGTACCACCTACAATTATTTCGGAACTGCTATAGTTTGTTCAGGTCACACATTTGCAGTGAAAATAAGTGTAAGTGATAGAAAATGTTTTATTCAATAAAATCAAGATTGCCTTCTGATAATATTAATTTCTATTTACAGATTTGCCATTTTGAATATAGAAAATCAAGATAACTTAACTCCAGAATTCAAGTGTAAAAACTGCCTTTGAACTTTATACAATCATTATCTGGGATTACTACTTTTATTCTACAACTATACTTCTGGAAAAATTCTAAATCTATTTTTGAAATGGTAGTAGTTAGTTCCTCTGCAGAGACAGGACTTGCTAACTTAGCTCCTGATCAGCGAAGTTGGTAGGTCATCTACACAGGTCAGGACAAGAACTACTACCTCTTCTACAAGAGTTGATACACTCACAAAAAATGCCCAGCGTACACTCAAAACTGTTTTGTAAACTGTTACTTTTAAAGTGTCACCTCAAAACATCAGTAGTATCATTTGGTTTAAAACTGCTCTAAAATAAATCACAAGGTTTATTCTTTCAAAAAGGAAGCAAGTGGTTTTTGATAGTGCTGTTCAGAGCGGGAGATTTAAAACACACACACACACACACACACACACAAGCATGCATACATAATTTGCAAAGGTTACAGGTGTAGTTTTTATAATATATGTTAATAATGTTTGATTTTCTTAAAAACTGCATTATTATAAATTATAATTAATTTATAACATAATTACATGTAATATGTAATTACTATTGCTACCATCAATGGTGACCTGTTATATCAAGTACTGTGTTAATAAAAGACTCACATAGATTTCATTTAATTCTTTCAACCACACTGGGATATAAAAATTATTACCTATATCTAAGTATGGGTAAGTTGAAGTTTGAAGAAATTTAACTCACTCAATGACTTATTTCAAATAAGTTGAGGGAGCTAGGAGTTGAAACTAGGTCATATGATTCTAAACAAAACCCATGTTTTTAACTGCTAGGTTAGGGAACTATTAGTTTGCTATTTATTAAAATCTTTAAATAGATGACTTATAGGATCAGTGGGCTTCAGCAAAAAAAAAATTCTCCAAAATATTTCAAAAAGAATCAATGTCTTACACTTGTTTCTTTATTGAATCTATTACCTGTCTGTTGGTGATTTCTCTTCATATTCATTTTATTTCCTAAAATAAGATGTTCTTATACTTAGAAAAATAACATTCCCACATAATCTGTCAATTTTTAAACCCATAAAAATCGTGCATATTTTGAAAGTAACTGTAGGGACAAAGTAGTCATTTACGTATATCGAGCTGTCCATCTTTATTTCTCCCTATTATAACTCCCAGTTCTACCACACATCTGCACTGATCTGAATTGGTGGACTCCACTTCTTAAGATTTTACTTATTGTTCTGTTGTATGTATAGGTTCACCGTATCCAACTAATTATTAATAACAAAAACGTCTATGTTAAGCACACAGTGATTAAATTATATGTTAATCTTATCTTAGAACTCTAAACTACAGTGAATTTGGAAATTAAAAAGGGAGTAAATATTAGACTAAGAAAAAAATATTTCTACTTTGAATGCAGGTCTTTGAAAAACAAATATCAAATCTGGCCCATCCTTTTTCTTCTTACCTCAGGTTGGCTGGAAATATTCAAAATGAGAGCCCATAATTCAGCTCTCAGGGCTGTGGGACTTCCTTGTCTGATATACTGTTGAGCAGCAGCACTATCTTGTTCTGATAGAACTGTCAAAAGTATATTAAAATCTCATTAGAAAATTCATAATGTAAGAAATAACACTGAAATCTTTAAAAATCTTTTGGGAAGCTAACATTTCATCTTTATGTCTAACATAATTGCATCATATCTTGACAATCTTCTTTTACTCTCAGATTTTTGATGTGGCCTTATTTACAGCCCTGTAAGTTTCAAGCCGTAAGCTCCTCCACCTCCTACCCCACCAGGTGAAAGTTTTTAATGTAGGTACCTTGATTTCACTGTGCTTTAACTATAGCTCCATGGATGTGAAACTTGTGATGCATATATAGAATAATTTTTGGATTTCATGATCACATGAAGTCATAGCTACAGAAACCCTAAATTTCTTATGCATATTCTACTAAGTCATGAATGTTCTAGTATTTGGAAGTGGTATGCTATTTGAAGTATTATGACTGAGAATTCTAAAGAATGTAGATATCCATTCTATTCGATGACTTTTTAGCTATCTGCCAAAATCAACAGAAAAGAGGGATTTTTAAAGAAGTAAAAACAAAAAAGATCTGATAACCTAAATTTAAAAAGGCCAAAAATTATTCATAAGCAGTCAAGTTCACAAAATTAATATATTATCCTTTTGTTTTCACCTTTATGTTAATGAAAATACTAGCCATTAAGTCTGGAAATAAAGCCCCCATCCAAAACAAACAAACAAAACCAAAAAACAAAAACAAAAGAAGAAATACTAGACAACTGCTGATATTTGTCAAACAGTTTTGTTTTCTTATATTTTCTTCTTAAAAGAAAAAGGAAAAAATTCTTACACTAAATGAGAATGAAACAAAGGGACCACATGATAACTTGCAATTGTGTTTAATGAAAATATCAAATCATACAAATGCAGTCTTCTAAATAAATAGGATTCTGAAAAATTGAACTAGGGAGTTTAGAACATGATAATATAATTGCCATAGAAGATTTATTCTGACACAAGACTTACCTGCACTTCATATTTCAAGGACAAAACAGGGTTTATAAAAATAAGGAAAAGAATCTTAAAAAGATGGGGAAAATTTGTTCTCCAGAACACTAACAGCTGCTTCAGTTATTAAGCCCTACCATGGTGAACAGTCGCTGGGAAGTGTGACAGCTATTATTCTCTCCTGATGCAGGAGCATATTCCTATTAACACTAATGAGAAGGGTGTGGGCACATCAAAGAGAGAACCTGGCTCTTTGATTTTAAAATGAAATTCTACTGTTGAATGGATTAAGCTAATATCCTTGAGAAATGTGTGCTTGCATTTATCATTTCCTTTTTAGTGAACCATCTGTGTACTTCTTTACCTGACGTTTATTGATAAAGCCAAATTGATGCATTTCCCCTCTTTATAAAGATTCCCATTGTTTTATCTACACTGTTAAATTTTATTCCTTTTTAGGTCTTTAGCTTCTCAGAGATTAAATTTCAGTTGAGGGTATATGATACAGACGTTTACTTGAGACTGTCTCATTTTCAGAAATTAAAATAAGTATAATCAAAAGCTTACCTTTTTGCCCAATACGTACATGCTCATTTTCAAAAAGTTCTAAAAATGATAAAATAAATAAAATTATTAGACACAAATATAATCAGCCACATTTAGAACAATATTATGTAAATGTTTTCTGGTGTTGATGCTTTTAATTATTTTCAAAGCTGAATGGCTCTCCAGGAAACTATAAGAATATTTATCTTTATATGTGGAAAAATCTTTTTTCTAAGTTATTTCAAGTTTGTAGAAATGAAAAGGAAATATATTTAATCAGAAGAAAAGATTGATAAACTAATTTTCTTTGTTAAAATAATACAGAATATCTTCTCACAACACAAATGTTTGTCCATTCATCTTTGACTTTTTTTTCCTAAAAACAAAACAAAATTTATTGATAGCTTTATTTGCAAATCCCTACTTCTACTCTAAGCTACCATGAAAGCAAATCTAATAAAAGCCTTAATACTTTATAGGAAATCCCACTATACAAATGCCATTTAAAAAGATTGTATGGGAGAAACAAAGATTTGTTTTTAAAGTACCAATCATAATGGAAATAACCTCCTAAACTAGATCATATTAAAACCAAGAAACATCTGTTCATCAAAAGATACCACTGAGAGTGAAAAGGTAAGTCACAGAGTGGAAGACTGTATTTGCAATACATATATCCAGCAAAGGACTTGTACTTAGAACATGTAAAGCACTCCCAGTAAGTCAATTTAAAAAAGACAACTATCTGACACAAATAGGCAGAAGCTGTGAACAGGTTCTTTACAAAAGAGGTAATCCAACGGATCGATAAACATATGAAAAGATGCCCAACCACATCAGTCACCAGAGAAATGCAATTAAAACCATTATGAAATACATACCCATCACAATGGCTAAAATGAAAAAGACTGACAATTCTAAATGCAAAGGAAATGGAGCAAATGAACTTCTCATACAAAGGTGGTAGGAGTGTAAATCAGTACAGCCATCTTGGAAAACTGTTTGGAAAACTGAATATATGCACGCCCTATGATAGCAGCACATCGCTCTCAGATGCGCATCTTATACCTATGTGCACCAGGAGACTTACACAAGAATATGCACAGAAGCACTATTGATAATAGTCAGCCCCCTATGTCTGTGGATTCAGCCAACCACGGATTGAAAACATTTGAAAAAAAATTCCAGAAAGTTCAAAAAAGCAAAACTTGAATTTGCTGTGTGCCAAGCACTACACTGAATCTGTGTGAATGAACTGATGTGTTGGCATACCCTGCTGTAGTCTCCCGCCATTTCATGGATCCTCAGTCTCCAGCACTTGTGTTTGAGTATTGTTCACCTTGTGTCTCGTTTGTCACTTACGTTGTGTGCACCCTTTGTTTCTGTGAAAAAATGGCTCCTAAAGAGCAATTAAGTGGTCAAAACAATCCCTCAAAAGCTATGTAAAGCAATTATACTCCAATAAAGATGTTAAAAATAATAATAATAATTTTTTAAAAAGCTAAACAATCCCTCAAAGGCTAAGAGGGAGCGTTAAGTGCTATCTCTCAACAAGAAAATTAAAATCTTAGATCTTTTGCAAAGCGGCATATTTCTTGCCAAGGTAGGCCATAAGGTCAGTAAGAACAAATTGAGCATTTGCAAAATAAAGCAGAAAGAAGCTGAAATTTGTGGAAGTGTTTGTGCTGCCCCTACAACAGCAAAAGTGGTCTCTCATTCATGACAAATTGCTCGCAAAGGCGTCAAGTATGTGGCTGGAGGACATGTCACAGAAGCATATCCCTGTTCATGGCAAAATGATGTGTGAAAAAGCACTTAGCCTCTGTGAATACTACTGTGATGGGGTTGAGGAGAATGAAGGAGTTTAAGGCTCATAAGGGATGGCTGGCTAACTATGTAGAGTGCTACAGCCTTAAGAACTTAGAGATCATGGGAGAATCATCATTGGCTGATGCCAAGGCAGCTTCAGCGTTCTCAGAAGAGCTCAAAAAACTTATAGAAGAGAAAGGCTACCTTCCAGAGCAAATCTTCAATTGTGATGAAATGGGCTTGTTCTGGAAGATGTCCAATCGTACTTATATCCATAAGACAGCAAAGTAGGCCCCAGGGTTCAGGGCCTGGAAAGATCACCTTAGACTGGTGCTGTCTGGCAATGCAACAGGTCACGTGATCAAGCCAGGCCTCATCTACTGAGCAAGCGATCCCCAGGCCCTTAACAAAAACAAAAATTGCCTGCCTATGTTCCAGCAATACAAGAAGGCTTGGGCAATGGCCATTTTGTTCTTGGAGAGGTTCCATCAGTGTTTCATTCCTGAAGTAAAGGGATGAAGAGAAGGGGCTGCCATTCAAGGTCCTCCTCATAACTGACAACACTCTCTGCTTCACTGGCGAGAATGTGGACGTGATGTTCCTGTCTCCTGCAGCAGCGCACTGAGGTGAAGTAACACCTACCTCGCCTTCAGGACGTTTCGTGCTGCCCCTGATGCTAACCCTGACTGAGCAGCATTATCGATTTACGAAAGAGCTTCACAACTGCAGGTGCAGTTTTGCTTCCCACAGAGGCTGTAGATGCCTTAAGTCCTGAGACCACCGATGCAGGCTGGAGGCAGTTCTGGAGTGAGGTGATCAGTGATTTCAGGGGCTTCTCCACTACTGATGCAGAAGTCAGTAGTATTTTGAATGTTGCAGGGGAAGTTTGGTGGGGAAGGCTTCTCTGACATGATTGAAGACAATGTTGAGGAACACACAGAAGAGCGTAGAGAAACCCTTACCAACAAGAAACTTGAAGATCTGCTGAAATCCTCTAAAGATGATGGTGATGATCATGATGCAGAAGATTTAGAGGAGGCAGAGCCATCAATCTGGACACTTGAAAAATTTGCAGCAGTTTCTCAAGTATGATTAGAGAGAGAACATACATGTGTGTGGAAGTGGGGATGGGAGTAGCAGGAGGGGGAGAGACAGCGTGAGGAGGCAAGAGATGAGACCTGAACAGTAAAAATAGTGTTATCCTTGACACAGGGGATAAAGATTGAAAGATGGTAGGAAGGGGCTTCAGTTTATTGATCTGGGTGGTAATTTAATTAGGTGTGTCCAATTCATGAAAATGTATTGAGCCATTCTCTTAGAATTTTGCCAACAAAATGACTTACATATGTCTAATGAGTTTCCAAAATTATTTTAAAGACCCTCAAATAAAAAGACAAAAATCTAGTTGAACTCTAATAATTGTAACATACAAGATTCTATTCAATAATTAATAGTAACCAAGGAGAGGCAAAAAGCATGTTAGTTGTCAGATATTTAAAAAGTTACTAGATTAATTTGGAAATGGCAAGATAAACCTTAACCTCACTCTCATTTTCATTTAGTATACGCCATATGGGAGAAATACTAACCAGGAGGCACTTGTGTAGAGTCATCTATACCAAGTTGCCCGGCAGTTAAGCCAAGTTCCACAAAGAATTCTTTCTGAAAAATAAAACACAGAATTACCATGCATCTCAGACTTTGCTACACATTATTTTAAAAAAATCACCTTCACCTAAACATCAACTTAAATGAAAATTACAATGTAAAATAAATCTTTGCTTCATTCAAATATCTAAAGAAGAAAAGAATATTATTGAACTTTTAGATAGTAATGCTTTAGTCCAAAATTTTCCCTTTTTAGGTAACAAACTAATCAGTAAAAGTAAGGAATAATTATTCTGAGGAAAGAATAATAAAATTTAAATCTCTCCTGAAACATACATACACACACAGCATATGTAGCACTTAGCAATTTTATTTTCTAAATTCATTGTCTAAAATTACCAATATAATTCTGTATCTGTGCCTTCTATGGTACTGTACTTCACTCAGCTCTTAATCAAATAAATACTGCAATATCCAAAACAACTTAAATTAATTTTTAAGTAAAATTAGACTACCAAGTACTCTGCTAAAATAAGAATAAATTAGATTTACTCTCCAGACTTCCTCTACTTATCTAGTAATGTCTAAGGAAAGTAATCATGTTTGTCTGTTGTTTTATAAATATATAAAAAACAACCCCATAGTATTCACATTATTTTTATTGCCTAAGTAATTAAATATTTCTATTAATATTTGCCTCAGTGTTTTGTTACTATTCTAATTGCTAAAGCCAAATCCCTTCTCCTTTAAAAAATGGAATTAGTTTTAATCCTTCATAATTATCTATGATTATTTAAGTTAGTGATTTATTTGTGTCCCTCATAAGACAGTTATTCAGCCTAACACACATTTCATTTCTGTATCAATTTTAAATAACTGCCATTATATTTCAATTTTTAACTAAACTAATTTTAACCTATACTTTTAAAAAGCACTGCAACTTATGTTACCAATTTTTAATGACTCAAGTGGTAAAAATTCACTGCTTTGGATATTTTTTACTCTATGTCAGTAGACCTGGTCCCTAATCTCAGACTTCCTTCTCTATGAACACGTATTACCTTTTTTCAACCTGTATCAAAGAATATAATCACACCATATTGAAATTATCTTTTTACTGTCCATCTCATTAGCCTGAAGCTCTTGGAAGACAAAGACTATCTCTTACACACATTTGCACCTCCTGTTCTTAGCACAGTGCTACGTGACACATAACAGTGGGGAGTCAGTAAATAGTGAACCACACTACTGAGTTCTAGTTCCCACCTGCTGTCTCTACAACACTGAATTAGTGAACAGGAATTAGTCAGCAACTTCTCTTTAGAGTTAATAAATTTCAGTTTCAAGAAATTCCCTTTTGGCAAGAAAGGGGTAGGGGGTTAAGAGATATAGATTACTACATATAAAATAAATAAGCTACAAGAATATATTGTATGACACAGGGGATATAGCCAATATTTTATTTTATTTTATTTTTTAATAGATCTTTATTGGAGTATAACTGCTTCACAGTACTGTGTTAGTTTCTGTTGCACAACAAAGCGAATCAGCCATATGCATAAACATGTCCCCATATCCCCTCCCTCTTGAGCCTGCCTCCCATCCTCCTTATCCCACCCATCTAGGTCATCGCAAAGCACAGAGCCAATCTCCCTGTGCCATGCTGCTGCTTTCCACCAGCCAACTATTTTACATTTGGTAGTGTATATATGGAGACGCTACTCTCACTTCGCCCAGCTTCCCCCTCCCATCCCATGTCCTCAAGTCCATTCTCTATGTCTACCTCTTTATTCCTGCCCTGCAACTAGGTTCATCAGTACCTTTTTTTTTTTTTTAGATTCCATATATATGCGTTAGCGTACGGTATTTCTTTTTCTCTGTCTTACTTAACTCTGTATGACAGACACTAGGTCCACCTACCTCACTACAAATAATCAACTTCGTTTCTTTTTATGGCTGAGTAATATTCCATTGCCTATATGTGCCACACCTTCTTTATCCATTCATCTGTTGAGGGACATTTAGGTTGGTTCCATGTCCTGGCTATTGTAAATAGTGCTGCAATGAACACTGTGGTACATGACTCTTTTTGAATTACAGTTTCCTCAGGGTATATGCCCAGCAGTGGGATTGCTGGGTCATATGGTAGTTCTATTCTTAGTTTTTTAAGGAACCTTCATACTGTTTTCCATAGTGGTTGTATCAATTTACATTCTCACCAACAGTGCAGGAGGGCTCCCTTTTCACCATACCCTTTCCAGCATTTGTTGTTTCTAGATTTTTTGATAATGGTCATTCTGACCAGCATGAGATGACACCTCATTGCAGTTTTGATTTGCATTTCTCTAATAATTAGGGATGTTGAGCATCTTTTCATGTACCTCTCGGCCATTTGTATGTCTTCCTTGGTGAAATGTCTGTTTAGGTCTTCCTCCCATTTTTTTAACTGGAGTGTTTGTCTTTGAGATTGAGCTCCATGAGCTGTTTGTATATTGTGGAGATTAATCCTTTGTCTGCTGTTTCATTTGAAAATATTTTCTCCCATTCTGAGGGCTGTCTTTTTTTTTTTTTTTTTTTTTTTGCGGTAGGCAGGCCTCTTACTGTGGGGGCCTCTCCTGTTGCGGAGCACAGGCTCCGGACGCGCAGGCTCAGCGGCCATGGCTCATGGGCCTAGCCGCTCCGCGGCATGTGGGATCTTCCCAGACTGGGGCACGAACCCGTGTCCCCTGCATCAGCAGGCGGACTCTCAACAACTGCACCACCAGGGAAGCCCTGAGGGCTGTCTTTTTGACTGGTTTAAGGTTTTCTTTGCTGTGCAAAAGCTTTTAAGTTTAATTAAGTCCCATTTGTTTAGTTTTGTTTTTATTTCTGTTACTATAGGAGGTGGGTCAAAAACGATCTTGCTGTGGTTTATGTCAAAGAGTGTTTTTCCTATGTTTTCCTCTAAGAGTTTTATACAGTGTCTGGTCTTATGTTTAAGTCTTTAATCCATCTGGAGTTTATTTTTGTGTATGGTGTTAGGTAGTGTTCTAATTTCAGTATTTTACATGTAGCTGTCCAGTTTTCCCAGGACCGCTTATTGAAGAGGCTGTCTTTTCCCCATTGTATGTTCTTGCCTCCTTTGTCGTAAATTAGGTGCCCATATGGGCATGGGTTTATCTCTGGGCATTCTATCCTGGACCATTGATCTATATTTCTGTTTTTGTTCCAGTACCATACTGTCTTGACTACTGTAGCTTTGTGGTATTGTTTAAAGTCAGGGAGCCTAATTCCTCCAACTCTGTTTTTCTTTATCAAGATTGCTTTGGCTCTTCGGGGTCTTTTTTGTTTCCATATGAATTGTAAAACTTTTTGTTCTAATTCTGTGAAGAATGCCATTGGTAGTTTGATATGCACTGCACTGAATCTGTAGATTGTTTTGGGTAGTACAGTCATTTTCAGAGTATTGCTTCTTCCAACCCAAGAACATGGTATATTTCTCCATCTGTTTATGTCATCTTTGACTCCCTTCATCAGTGTTTTACAGTTTTCTGAGTACAAGTCTTTCGCCTCCCTAGGCAGGTTTATTCCTAGGTAATTTTTTCTTTTTGTTGCTGTGGTAAATGACAGTGTTTCCTTAATTTTTCTTTCCGATTTTTTTGTTGTTGGTGTATAGGAATGCCAGAGATTTCTGTGCATTAATTTTGTATCCTGCAACCTTACCAAATTCATTGATGAGCTCTAGAAGTTTTCTGGTGGCATCTTTAGGATTTTCTACATACAGTATCATGTCATCTGCAAACAGTGACAGTTTTACTTCTTCTTTTCCGATTTGGATTCCCTTTATTTCTTTTCCTTCTCTGATTGTTGTGGCTAAGACTTCCAAAACTATGTTGAATAACAGTGGCAAGAGTGGACATCCTTGTCTTGTTCCTGATCTTAGTGGAAATGCTTTCAGTTTTTCACCATTGAGTATGCTACTTGCTGTGGGTTTGTCATATATGGCCTTTATTATGTTGAGGTAGGTTCCCTCTCTGCCCATTTTCTGGAGAGTTTTTATCATAGATGGGTGTTGAATTTTGTCAAAAGCTTTTTCTGCATCTATTGAAATGAGCATATGGTCTTTATTCTTAAATTTGTTAATGTGGTGTATCACATTGATTGATTTGCGTATATTGAAGAATCCTTGTATCCCTGGGATAAATCCCACTTATCATGGTGTACAATCCTTGTAATGTGCTGTTGGATTCTGTTTGCTAGTATTTTGTTGAGGATTTTTGCATCTATTTCCATCAGTGATACTGGTCTATAATTTTCATTTTTTTCTGATATCTTTTTCTGGTTTCGGTATCAGGATGATGGTGGCTTCGTAGAATGAATTTGGGAATGTTTCTCCCTCTGTAATTTTTTGGAAGAGTTTGAGAAGGATCGGTGTTAGCTCTGCTCTAAATGTTTGATAGAATTCTTCTGTGAAGCCATCTGGTCCTGGACTTTTGTTTGTTGGGAGATTTTTAATTATGGTTTCAATTTCATTACTTGTGATAGGTCTGCTTATATTTTCTAATTCTTCCTGGTTCAGTCTTGGAAAATTGTACCTTTCCAAGAATTTGTCCATTTCTTCATGGTTGCCCATTTTATTGGCATATAGTTGTTTGTAGTAGTCTCTTATAATCCTTTGTTTTTCTGCAGTGTCAGTTGTGATTTCTCCTTTCTCATTTCTAAATTTATTGATTTGCGTCTTCTCCCTTATTTTCTTGATGAGTCTGGCTAAGGGTTTATAAATTTTGTTTATCTTCTCAAAAACCAGCTTTTAGTTTTACTGATCTTTGCTGTTGTTTTCTTCATTTCTACTTCATTTATTTCTTTGTTGATCTTTATGATTTCTTTCCTTCTACTGACTTTGGGTTTCCTTTGTTCTTCTTTCTCTAGTTGTTGTAAGTGTAGGGTTAGATTGTTTACTTGAGATTTTTCTTATTTCTTGAGGCGAGATTGAGTTGCTATAAACTTCCCTCATAGAAATGCTTTTGCTGTGTCCCATAGGTTTTGGGTCATCATGTTTTCACTGTCATTTGTTT